GGCGTGTGATAATTATGTTCAATATTTTAATCGCTGAACTAGCATATCGCGTATTTCGTTGTGCAGTTATAATGCAAGCATGAATTGCATATGTGTATTATTGATATTTGTTTGTTATATGAATGTGTCAATAGAACCGAATTAAACGCGATTTGCCTTTGAATGTTTTTGCGCAATGAATTGTATTACATGAATGATTTTGATCAGACCAAATTCTAGATTTCTGATGAGATTATGGTTATGTCAAATTCATAAATTGCTCATTGTAAAGTAAATCGCAAAATATGAATAATTCAGTTCTCAATTGAAACAGTGCACTTGCCCAGTCCACTTCATCAGCGTTGATTCAGTCCACAATTGCTATACTGAAATTTGCTTCTTTACTCGTAAGATATGAATAATGTAGATGTCAGTTGAATGCCCTCTCTCACACAATTATAAGCAACAATTACTGAAATGATTGCAGCAATAAATTTGCTGTAACGAGAGCCTAAAGACTCGCCAATTCTCCCTTAACGGGTGTCACAATTCCAAAAAACGACATAAATTGAAGCCTTTACGACTTCGTTATGAGGTGGTGTGCACGGACTACAATGAAACCGAACAAGATAAATCCCCCAATAAAATGTAAATTCGGTGCGGTGAATCGTTTTTTACGAAGTCGTTTCTGGAACAAAATGACGACAGTTTATTGCAAAGTTAATGTACGATATATATAGCATCCATCGTCAATATTGATTGCTTCAATTATGGTTGTCGCTCTATGCTAATGTGACATGCAAGGACAGCGGTAACAGCATTCACCCGATCTCATCTTCTTCATTTCATTTCTTTCCGTCCTCGTTGAGGTGTCATTTATTATTTCTCTTTCAAATATTGTCTAATTGTAAATCAAATTCTGTCGAAAAGTTTTATCGTTGTTCTCTGATGCGTCGTCGTTCATCAATGCATTCACATACATCATTCAGGAGCAGCAGCAGCAGCAACCATCTCACATCAGTGTCCACATTTTGCATTTGAGTACAGTGTGAAATGTCAATTCAAATCCTGTATAACATCAGTTCTATTTCACAATTGCCAGATACTCATTCAATTGTGTTGCTGCATTTATTTAATTTTGTTAAGCTTGATTTGAAAATTGATGAAATTCATGCCTCTGAATGTGTCTCTTTAATCATGATCGCTTCGCATTATGGAGTAGAGCTGTAACCGGTAGGAGGGGGGGCAGCATTTGCGGCGAGGGAGTACCACATGTCGAGGGAGGAGATTCTCTTCAGCCGAGAATGGTTGCTTTTCGCGGTATCCCTTGAAAAAAAGAAACTTACTTGTCAAAATAGCATCTAACATAAGACATCTAACATCTAACAAAATAACATAAAATACTACCTTAAATGTTGTATTAAGCTGTGAACGGCACAATTTATTATTAATTTTCTAATGGTAAAATGAAACAAATGTCACCTCCGGACACCTCTGTTTCTAATGTCTGCCTAACGATTGCTACGCACAGAATGACGAAACAGAGGATAGGGTATCACATAGCGCAAGAACACTTGAGTGAATAGATTAATTATTTTTCGGCGGTCGCCAACGAGACAAATCGGTCGGTCTCGATTGATGTTCATCGAAATTCCCGGGAAGCCACAACACAACGGCACGGAGAGGTAGAGTTTTTTAAGGAATCCTCTAGCGAGAATTCCTGCTGCTTTTTGGGAGTCAAAATACGCTTTCCGGTGTCTCTCCATTTTTGTGAATAATTGCCGGAAAAAAATCCCCTTTCAAATCTTATCATCACATAAAAGCGTTGCTTTATGTGAAGATAACAGAATAGAAATAAGCTCCAATCATCGCAATAATTCTGAAAATGCTGCAATAAAAGGAAATAAAAGCGGTTGATTCGATACATTAATATGTTAATTCATCGTCCCATTACAATGCAGCGCTATGAAAGAACGATCAACTGAAACCGTTTGCGATATTTTTGTTTGTTCTTTTGGTAAAACACGAATAGAGCCAAAATGAGATCATAGTTGAAGAATGTTCACAAGTGGGAAGGCGTGAAGCTGATTCCGCTCAGCGAAATCAATTTATTTTCTGTGAGAATTGACAAATGAAAGCGCGTAACGATGAATGCCATTAATATCCAATACCATTATTATAATCGCAAAACCCCGATTGATATGATCGCTCTCATAATTAATTAACAACAACGTACATTGTTAATATTGCCATTGTTATTAGTTTCATTAATGTTATCATTATAATCATATTATTGTTGTATCAGCGTAGAAGACTTATTCATTGCAATACGATATATTCACAATATTATTATGTGATCGATATAATATTATAAAATGAAGCATAGCGTTAATATAATATTTGAACGGCATGCTTTATAAGAGAAGAATGAGAATAACGATTGTAAGAACTGCGCTTTTAATTGGAATTCGAAAACTTATTCGTATAAATTTGAGCAAACAGTAGATGTGTGCACATACATATTATAGTAGAGAATGATGTGGTACTAACCACGTACTTTACATAGATTCAGAAATAGTGATAGGCGAGTCACTGAACAGTCGTAACGGTTTGAGATGTTTTCTTCAAACATTCCGACAGTTGTTATGTTATGCTTTAGCCAATTTCGATGAATTACTTTAATGAGATCATAATGCAGGTGCAAAAAATTTGATGAAGAATCGGCAACTGTTCAAAACAACATTGAGTTCGGTAATGATCGTTGCCGGCAAATTGTTTTGTATCAAATAATGTGTGTGAACAAAGATTTTAGCGATGCCTCTCCGGGATATTCTGCTTCAGCACAACGATCAGCATTCATCGGATGAAATATGCACATAGTTATGGAGTTGTGATGAGGTTCATTCGTTTAAAAAAATTTATTGGGTGGATGTGGTATTTGGCATGCTGAGTCGTTAGTGGTTGATTGCATTCGTTAATTGAATTGAGTGATCGAATGAAGAAATGTAACCAAATTCAATTTTGAATCACATTTCAGTTGATCGTTGTAAAGTGCAATTGAATTACATTCCGATCAACAATCCTAACTGGTGAAGTTTTGCAGCTTATCAAACTGTTCGACTATATTCGTCATTATTTCAGTTCATACCATCTGTTTTATGTAAAAACTTACGCTATGCTCCATGAAAAACAACTAATTGTTACCAATTAGCATCATTGTATCCTCATTCTCATATTATAATTGCTGTCATCAATATCTCGCTATTGTTAATGCAGTACTTTTATTATTAGTTATTATTATTGGGTGGATGTGGTATTTGGCATACTGATTCGTTAGTGGTTGATTGCATTGCATTATTACTATGTTATTATTATTACTATGAATGCTATTATCATTATTATCTTAACTGTTAGTATCATTATTGTGATTAATAGCACAGTAATGATACCTTTACTCATAATGCTATCTAGGCTGTTGGTATGAATATTTGCTGTGAACTATAGACATCGAAACGTTTATTACTCTCATTGTCATCATTCAATATTGTTCACTTCAAAATGAGTTTTCGACAATACACCGTTGATAGACTGAATGCTATAGAAGCGATGAATCGAACAGCTGTTCATATCAATGCGAGTGATAGCTTTGAAATGCTCATTTCCAGTACATAACAATAGCTCAGTTGCAGATTGCCGTTGTCGCCTCTTTAGTCGATTGCACTTAATGTCATAAAATCGAGCACACTTCATTTCACTTACTTCCGACGCAGGCCACTATCTCTTTGCATCGTTGAATTGTCTTCAACACGATGCTCATCAAAATGCTCAAAAGGTAAGTTCATTTCTCCGATCTGATTGACACAAGTATGAAATTACGACGGAATGAAGAACCATTTTTGTAACGCCGAAAACTTTTGTGTGAAAACTCTTTCATTCGTACGAATAATATCGTCGTTCATAAGTGAAAACAAAAATGGCTTTTTGCTTCAACGATTCCGAAACGAAACAGATTGATTATGAATTCTATTTAAACTCCAGACATACTCACAGAATATTTGCATAATATTCTGAGAGTGCATCTGAACTTTTTTTTGCGCAGATTCGATCACGAGCTGACTAAGTGAATATGTAGTGTTACGATTAGTGAACGCGTTTCGTGCAAAGAATTTTATCTTTCCATCAACTAAACACTCGTCAACAATCATTCATTTTGATACGTTTTTTCCTCTTAACAACACATCTACGGCCATTATTCAACAGAAACGATAAGCGATAAAAATCTGAAAATTATTTTTGATGTGTTTTTTTCACCGGGTTCGGCGGATTCGAGTCTCACAATGGTTCCAGAAAATTATGTGTGCACCGAACAATAACGATTGTTAATGCATACATTCTTTTTTTGTTGGTTAGAGTGCATGCAGATTAGCTTTTCGTATGATACAATGCATTCGCTTGCCATTAATTTCATCAAATTAAATGCGCTCTCGGAATATTCTCGCTAGCATTCGCTTGCATGATTCGTTTCTTGTGTGAAGTAGTAAAGTAGTATGGGTGATGGACGCGATTGTTAGGTGCAAATTGGAAACTCGTATAGAAGTGGAGTGAAAAAAAACTGTAACGAGCACAAGCAAAGACTTTATCGATATCACTGAAATTTTATCCATTCTAGCAGATTTCTGATCATTTGCTTCATTTCCGTGCAAAACATCGCTGGTTTTTCGCCTGCTACGGAGGATAGGAGACATTTGAGAAATAAATAAAGGCTGATGAATGAAAATGAGATGATGTCTTATGCTAGTGGTATACACCGAGATATATCTCATATCGCTAGCTTTCTTTTGAAACTGAATTAGTGAATCAACTATCACTATGCTCATCTGATATTCGCTTCTTATTCGAGCATGATCGAATGTTCCGTTGAATTTTCCTGCGCATTTGTTATACGCACTTTGAGTAACGAGCTGAGAAAGAGGTGACAGATCTCAGTTAGAGGTGATGGATCAGGGATGTGAGCGGATTTGTTTTCATAGAATAGAACCCAAATTTATGACGAACGCAAGGAGATTTCCATCAAACACAGGTTTGACGAGCACAGATTTTCTGGTGACAGTATGAAATCCAATCCAAATGTGGCCATAAATTTATTTGCCACCGCAAATAAATTTATGACCGCATTTGGGTTAAANCTGTTAAGCTCAAATAAGTGTTGCAACTGCAATAAATTACAGGAGGCGTACGGATGAGCGATTACTGGACAACGTCTTAGACGATATTTATCGGAACGAAGATGAGTTCATCGTAAACGACAGACGGTCATCCTCTTCGTCGCATAGGATAGCACCGTATAAAGCGGCAATTATAAGGGTCAGTCAAATGGTGTACCTATGAGGTGACAACAGCAAAAAGAGTGGCGTGTAACTGAATTTGTCGCTGTATTGGAATTTCAAGAACAATCTCAATCAGTTCACTTACTGAAGGGGGGGAATGAAGAAAGCAAGAACTTATTTTGAGGATCATCTGGGGCTTTGAGGATGAGAGGAAATTTTGAGGATCATATGATCAATAATAACACACTCACAGTTTAACAGGCATCTATGATAAGCATAAGTTATGCTTTCATTTTGTTGCTATCAACTGATCTTGTAATTGATGAATTGCCATTTCTGGAGAATCCAGAGCAATTGTATTTTGTTTGGCTGTCTTAGTGAAATATAGTTTACTTTTGATGCTAGTATGGAATGCAATCCAAATTTAGCCATAAATCTATTTGTTGTGTACTTGAATGTGCAAATGCTAGGTTTTTATTAATTATTCATCCGAACTGCATTCTCGTTAAGCTTAAACACTTCATTTTTGATAATCTATTGGTATGTTTCTCTGCATCTATTCACCTGATTTTCTCTGCGCAACAATTCGTGGGAATGTTCCATCATGAGACTCATCTTTTAGTCATGAACGCCTGTCAAAACTATGGTTATTGACAGCAACTAAGAATTATCGAATTTTCGATCAACTTGAGACACAATCTGGGGTGCATTGCATTTTAGCAAACAGTGAAAATCGGTAACAACGCAACGTTTTTCTAAGATTTCAATGATCGACTTCAAATGATTGGATTTCCATATGGATCATGTAATTTTCAGTTTGGTATGAAACATTACTTCTGATGTACCCCATGTTTTACATGAGAGAGGGAATTTTAAGGATTGTGCTACGACTAGAAAACCGATATCAATCATTGGAATGTGATTGTGTGATGAATTTTGGGAATCATTTCGCAAAGCAACATCAGTCAATGCTGATGGCATTTGAACATGAGCGGAGTGAATAATGTGAACTTCAGGTATGTCAACTTCAACTGAAGATCTGTTCGAAAATGATGGAATTGCGATCTTCATCGAACTCGAGCAACGAAGAACCGTCCACTTTAAAACGAATCGCTAGACGTTCCATACTGCGTCATTCGCTGCGTAATCGTGCTGGTAAGATCAGCTTCCTGCAGAATGACGATAATGTCAACGACGGAAGTGCTTTCAATATCCGTGAAGTGTTACCGGGCGAGTTGATCGACTACTTAAATGATGGAGTTCAAGAGGAATAAGTCAGCTGACCGATGTGTTTTGATTGATAATTTGTTTTTTTGCATTCAACCATTCGTTCAGAGGATTCGTTTGAGACGTATCGCTCGATATCCTGACTGAAACAAACTATAAACTTCGTACTATCTTTTAAGAATTGAAATTAGTTGAAGTGTGGATCTCTTGCCCCTTTTTCTTAGCGTTATGTGATTTCACTGACCGAATACAACTAATGAAGAAAAGGTATAAAATTCTCAATAGGAGTTTGCGTTCTCGACCAAGCTTCTGCCGTTCATTGTCCACTGCGTTCATTCAAACAGCTGATAGCACCTTCAGTAATCAAAACATACCTTCCATATAAATTCTCCTTACTATCCAGCATATTGCTCAAATACTTCTTTCTCACATTCACAACAGAACGAAAGTGCACCTGGAATTTTTGGAATGTCAGCTGTTGGAAGTACCTAACATTTTGAATGGGCGAATGTAGGAACTAAAGAATCGTGTGAGCATTAGATGCGCAAAATGAAAAGTTTTTTAATGTGATCGGAGTGTTCAAATTGCTGCCAGAAATAATAATCACTCATCAAGAGTGAAATAGTTTCATTGAGCTTCGATTATTGCTCACTGTCATGTAATCTTTTGGGTGAAGCGGACATAAGCAAAAGGAGAATGATTATGTGAATATTCTCACCTTGCAAGTTCAATCACGCGAACAAAATTAATGAAGTCAGTTAATAAGTGATCATTAGCAAGTGTTAATTAAGCGAAATGCTTGTACAGATAGCAAAATAATATTCACTATCTTGTTTAACACTGTGATTGTTTGCGTTCGATGTATTCAAATTGGTCATTATTTAAAGCTTCGAATCTGTCATTTGGAAACCGTGAAGTAGACTTGCAAGCTTATGTATGAGAGCTGTGATAATGAGATGTTGAGCGAACATTTTCAATCGTATCCCGATTGCTTGAAGATGCCTTCGTTTTATTTAATTGTGAACTGCTTCTTTCAGATGAATAAACGCTTTTTTGATGCTCTTGACATATTTATTTGTCACAAAACGCAGATATCACCCTAAAAGGTGTTCAAAGACAAATCGTATGAAGTATGTATAAGAAAATTCTTATTTGCGTCGAAGTAACAGAGATGTACGATGATCTAATACGCATCGGTAAATGAATACAATACTTGGGGATAATTTCCGCCTTTGAGCTGTTAATTAAGTAATTAATTAATTACTGTTAATTAATTTGAGCTGTTGAGTATTCGAATTTAGTTATCGCGAGAGAAGGATGGAAACCGATTACCGTCTATGTTTGCGGGTGCATTGTCCTGATTAACTCATGTCAGTGAATAAATATTCGAAAAATAAAGAATAACTTACGGAAAGAATGGCATCGTTCTTAATTTTCGAATTTCCTCAAATTCTTCAAAGCAACCGATTTTCAATTACATTTACATTTTACATTTTCCTCAAAATTTTCCTCAAATTTTCAATCTACCTTGTTCTATTCTACTTCACTTCCATCTCTTCTATTCTGTTGTTTTCATCAATTGTCATGTTTTGTTGCTTTTTTAAATCTGTTCTGGTCCTAGTAACAGAGCAGGAATAGAACAGCTCGACTGAAACATAAACATCAGTAATCATTAAAAGGAGTTTTTGCAAAGCCATGCTTAGGCTAATCAGATCTTGCGATCCGTGCTCAGTTTTGATGCATAGTGCAGAACGCAGTACAATCAATCGCTGCAATGAGTTTTTACATCCACGAATCTGTTTGTTTTACGATGCACAAAGCGAATTGTGTAAACATACACGTCATTCACATGCATCCAAATAAAATCAT